TCAATGCTCCCTAGTGGCCCTTTTTTGGGAATGGGCTCTCCTGTTTGCTCTATGAGGAAACAATCAAATACTCCAACTGCCTCCCTACCATACATTTCTGGATCCCGCTATCTAGTTATTTTGATTGAAGGGTAAGCAAGGGCTCAGCTTGGGTGGACCAGAGAAAAACACTACCCGCGAGTGCACATTTTAAACATCAGGGCAAAACAGGGAGACAGTTTCTGAGATATTTCAAACTGCATAGACAGGTTTGAGAGAGTTAATTTGAAGACTCACTTGGATTTACTGCCAGACTCGTTCCCAATCCCCAAATCAGCTTGCGGTTGTTGCCAATATTACACAGTCATAGGAAGCTTTGCAGAAACCGACCAGGCCAATGTGTATCAGGAAATCCCTTTCAATCCCCAAATCCAGCTAGTGTGCTCCTCCAGCTGGGACCCTGGCCAAAGAGGCAGTGGAGGAGACTGTTTATTACTGTGGTCAATTCGTAGCATGGTCGGGGTGGAAAGGCTCTTCTCAGATGAAAGAGTTCATCCCTCCACCTTCAGCCCGAGCTACCCTCTGACCAGCAAGGAGTCATGCAACCCTAGCAAATCCACTGGAGAAGGATTCTCCCACTCCAGTGCTCACCCATCCCTGCATTCAATACAGTCAGAACTTTCTGACCCAATGGTTAAGACAGAAAGGCAAGGAATCTGCCACGCTCCAGCCCGTTTATTCCTGTGCCAGGCGACCACACACGTGCCCATGTTCACATGTGCGTACGGCATGTGTATACCCTGGATCACCATTAGGATTCAGACTCAGAATTAACATAAAAAATAAAACTGGGTGGAGAAAACAGCCCCCAAATGAAGCTCAGCGCTATAGCTTCCTTTAGAAATTAGAGCATTCATTACAGATTCAGCAGAGATACTCACGGGGTTTGACCATTAACCTTGTTCCCCCTCCAAATGTGAGCTTGTTGCCTGCGTTATTATTCACACAGTGATCTTCAGCTCAGCAAAAACCTCCTAGAAACTGTACTAAGTTTTCCCTAAAGATCTTCTGGAAGGAGCGATACCATGAGCACAGAGAATATTAAGTAATTGTCACAGTAATAACCTGGCACAGACTCCTAGCACCAGCTTGGATTTCAGGACTGTTTCCACATTGGATAAATGAAGGGTATTCTTTCTAAATATTCTAAAGAGGGAGTTTTTCCTGCCCAAGCCCAGAATGCTGGCTGCCAGAATCCTAGCAGATCCTCTGGTGTTTTAGATAATAATTCTCCAGGGATTCTGAAGATTGTATTCCTAATTTGGACAAAGTAGGAATGGTTCATTGTCCATGGCACCAAGACCAAGCAGTCGGAGATACTGTCATCACCGTGGGAGAGACAGGGCTGCTGCCAGAGCCCACCTGGCAGGAGCGGTCAGCATGTTGGTCCACCCCTCAGGGTGCTGGAGCCAGACACCTCTGACTGAAGTCCAGCTTGTGGAACATCAAGGAGATTCCCACCTTCACTCCAAAGAACTAGAGACAGTCACAGGCACTGGCCAGCCCTGAATTCACTGACTCCAACTCCAGACCTTTTCACTCCCTGCTTAGGTGGTCATTAGGAAAAGGACACTTTTCCTCTTTGTCTTGGGGTAGACTTTTCCATTCTTTCCGTCCCTTTCCCCAGGTAACACATCTCCAGCACTCACCTGAAATCTTTCTCTTACAGGTAGCTTCTCATATTCTGTCTAGATCATCCTTTGGGATCTCTCTTAATTTTGAGGGTAACTTGAAGGAGAATCTGAGAAGGAAGCTCCATGGGCACCACTGCTGAGGTAACAGCATGGTGTCCTCTCTTTTCCTCCCCTTGGGCTGCCTGGAGGACCAGGGGCTTACGAAGCAACAATCAGGAATGGGCCATTCCTGAGGGAAATACGGCAGCCCATACATTTCCTCCTTGGATTTAGTCAGTGTTGTTCCTTCTCCAGAGAATAGATTCCCGTGGACGGATCCCTCCCTCCCACATCCATTACAAAAGGATCTCCTTTCTTCCTACTTTGCTATTTGCTTGCTGGATCTCTTACCCAAGTCTCTTTAATTTTAAGAAAGGGATATAATTTCTCAAACTGTCCCTATGAAATTAAGTCTGGTGTCACCTATGCTGGGCGTCCTGGCTAAGACATCGTGAAACTCAATTTGTTGCATGTGTGCAAAGTCTGTTTATCGTGGTGGGTCCATGATGACTGGTTTATGGACACGAAGTATAGGTGGGGCTTGTGTAAACATTCAGGGGAAATAGGTGTCCCGTTTGTCTAGAGCAGAGCATTTGTGGAAGGGAACAGCTGGGAATAAATTTAGAGAATGGAAATGGCCCAGGTTTTAGAGAGTCTTAAGTGACAGGCTAAGAAGTGGACGTAATGGTTTCTCACAATATGAATGCCCACATGAAATGTTAAGTTGGACAAGGGGGAGGGGCCAAAAGAAGGGTAGGAAAAGCAAGTGAAAAGTGTGGAATGAGATTATACACAAACAATGAATCATGGGACACTGCATCAAAAACTAATGATGTAATGTATGGGGATTAACATAATATAATAATAAAAAAAATTCAAAAAAAAAGAAGAGAATAAGGAACAAAGAATTCCTACTGTGTTTAGAGGGGTCTCTCAGGCTCTTTAGCTAATAAACATTTTCCTAATGATTAATACAATTCTAATGAAAATGGTGGTAAGTACGTGATAGTGAGCCTTGGAACTCTCCTTTACCCCTCCTGTCTCAGGTAGAGAGACCCAGAATTTCCACTTCGGGTAGCAGTAATGCTTGCTTCTATAGTCTATAATGACTATTTCCCTTATTTTACGTTTTCTTGACCCTCCAATACCAACAACTTCAAAAATAAAGTCTTGTCTGTAATACTCACTTGGTAAAACCTTCAGCCTAGTGCCTTCTCCAAAGATGTATTTGTAGCCTCCTGAGGTAATCACAGTGTTATGTGGTTCTACATAAACCAACATAAGGTTACCATTTCTTGGAATAGCTTTGCTGTCAGTTAGTAGGACATCATATGCACGTCTCCATTGGAAGGTACTGTCCTCATGTTTTTCTAAAAGGAATTTACTTGGGATAATATCCCCATTTATACACAAAGTCTTCACTGCTTTGATGAGGTCTGAGTTTGCAAAACTTCCTCAATTTCATGTTATGTTTATCTTAAGTGTATTTATTAAGAGGCTGTTTTAACAAACATGTCAGGATTTAAACATCTAAATGATTGTTGACCCCTTTGAAGTAGTCCCTTTAAGACTCTTCAATGAGAATCAGTTTAAAAGCCACACATACCCACCAATGACATGGTTTTATATTCATACCTCATTTTGGAACCAAAATAGTACCAGTAACGAGTTTGAGTCCCTCCTTTCTTTATAAATCATAGCTCTGAAAGGCTTTTGATTATTCACAGAAATGAAATCCACCTTCAAAAGATAAAGCCATCTGGATGCTACAAAAAGAATGTGCCTTAAAAAAAAAAAAAAAAAGAATGTGCCTTGACCTTTAAGGGCAGAATCAAAAGCGGAAGGGAGCCACAAACCTGCGTGCCACTTTCAGCTGAGTGGCTTGCCTGAGCCACTCATTGAAATGTATCAACTCCCTTTGTTAACAAATCAGCCCCGTCACCTCAGTGTCACACCTGGTTCAGGCACAGAGGGTTGTTGACGAGAAATATTACGAATGTAAAGTGGCAGGCGTTGCTGCAAATAATTCTAACAGGAAAGAGAAAAATAACAACAACAAAAAACAAAACCGCACAACACTGAACTCTGCAAGTGTGGGGACCGCCCATACCTCTTCGATACTGCTTTCTATAATCCATCTTTATTATTCCCTCCCTGACAGCTTCACAACTTGCTTTATCACAGAGAATCCCAAGGAGATGGGGAGCTTTCTAAGGTCCTGGGATTCTCTGCTTCTCCCACGGGGTCAACTCAGCTAGACTTTGTCTTCAGGGTGAACAGGGGCTGTCCTGTCTCCAGAGGTTTTCTTCTGCTATTCTCCCAGAAAAGGAAAGCCACGAGAAGCTTTTAATCCTGCTGCCCAGCCGTCACCCAGTCCACTCGCCAGATTTTTCAGTTCTTCCCCGGGGACACGGGCATAAACTCAACTGGATCCGCAGCACTTATCTGTTAAGGACACGCTACCTTGGCTCCACACTCCCGCTTGTGTCATCTCCCTTCCCATTGGTTTGTTTCTGTCTCTATCACAAAGCTTTTCTTCTTCTTATCTCTGCCTCTTTCCCAAAGCCTCAACGTGCGATGTGGACCTTCGAGAAACGCCGCCAGCAGTATTAATACAATTTATCAAACTGCCCATAGACCCGATAACCAAATCCAGCCTCTGGGGAAACGTGTCTTCATATCTGACTCACACATCCGACATAGTTAACAACCGCACGCTAAACGAAGCAATTAAATTCAGCTGTGTTTCAACAGGTCCCACTGGATTTCTTTCCAGAAAGGATAATTAGTTAACCACAAGAACTCACCGGGTGTGACCAGCAGTGAGGTGCCTTTGCCAAAGTAGATGAGATCCACAGTGCGTTTTCCCTAAACAAGAAGCCCCTTGCAGTAACCACTCTGCTGTCCCCCTCACGTGGCTCTCCATTGACTCTCATGTCTGAAAACCAACCACACAGCAGTCACACAGCCTGTGGCTCGTCCACGAGACCCTTGCGGAGAAGGCCACCCACTCACCAGAGTGAGGAGGGTGATCACTCCCGAGAACTGCCCTGCCGGGGCCGAGAACCTTGTTTCATGTCATGAAGCCCAGAGTTTTCCAGCAGAGGGAAGTGCCCATCTGGACTGAGGACAGTGGGGGCTCGGACCTGGAGCTGCTCTGAGGGCTCATGGGGGAAGGGTGGAAAGACACCGAGGGAAAGGGGTCAGTGAATTTTGCCTCCTTCACTCTGGGTTGTACTCGAGCTGCACTCACTGATTTAGTTTCTGAGACAACCCCCCAACACTTACTTGGTTTAACAGAGAGTTGAGTGCCTTTTCCAAAGATGAGCCTTCCTTGGCTGCCTCCATAATTGACACAGTCATATGGGGCCTTACAATAACCAGTGAGAGGGAAGGACTGAGGAGGACTCTGAGCAAGGGAGGCCACTTTCCCCTTTGGTGGGAGCAGCCTCACCACCCCACAGCCTCAGCTCCCAGCTCCTTGGCAGGGTGAGGACATTCCTCTAAAAGTAACAGCCGCCTGTGCAGAGAGATCTGAGCTGCATCTTAAACCACCTGTTTTGCTCCCAGAGCACTGGGTTTTGGTATCCTGCTCATGCCTGAGACACACAGGTCAATAGCAAGGTCAGGCAGAGACATGCCACCTAGCATAGGTGGCCAACACTGGGGGCAGAGAGTGATTATTTTAGGGACCAGGAGCACCATTCCACTCTCAGAACCATAGTTCTTATAAAGCATATTAAAGAAAAAAAGAGAATATTAAAGAAAACAACAAAAAAACCAACAAAACCCAAAAGGTACATTAAGAGAGCTATTTGCACTCTTTTTGTATTGGAGGGGTTCTTATTGAGGAAAACCCGATTTCTGAGTTGTTAGGTCTTTTTCTTTGTCTTATCACAGAATATGGGTGTTTCCTATTATCCTCAGCATTTCTATATATCCAGAGCCAATGAACAAGCCTGTGAAAGCTTCTATTTCTTTATGACCTGTCCTTAGGAATGCCTGAATTCATTAACTGGCAGACTTCCCATCAGCTCAGGCCCAAATAAACGAGGTGCCTTGATCCGGGGGGGCGGGTAGTGGCAGTGTCTTAATCCCACTAAGACTGCAGCGAAGAAGACCACCATTCACCCCAGCTTTTGAGATTGAACCGCTCCCCTCACTCACTTGGCTTTACTGTCAGTCTGGTCCCTGCTCCAAAGCGAAGGTCATTGTTATTATTGCCACAGCGATACACTCTTTAACAAAAACCTCCTGGGGCAGCCTGGCAGCCAGGCTGCCAGTGTCATAGGCACAACGGGGGGAGGCACACAACATGACAGTCCTATTCTCCTTTTCCGAGAGGAACCCAGCCACTTTGTCATGCTTCGAGGCTGTAAAAGTGGGCACATCTCAGCTCACTGAGCACAGCTAATCTAGACCCCAAATTGGCACTCTGAGACATCTAATCAGCTTTCGAACAAGTTCCTGAGCTGTGTATAAACCCATGCCACAAACAAATCAAGCCCAAACACACTGTTTGTCTTCAGGGACTGCTATGTATGAGGTACTGCCTGGTGGCACGCTCCAGAACTTCTATAATTTGCATCTTAATTATGGGTTCAAAATACTCAAACTACTCATCTATATAATTTCATGTTAATTATCATGTAGTCATCTCGTAATTGGCAAATAATGAAACACAGCAGAGCTTGGGGGGAGAGGGTTGGCATTTGACTACGTGTTCAGAGGGTCAAGGTTTTGCTTTTACTGCACCAAGGGTCTGACCAAATGACTCCTTTCAGAAGTAGAGTGTGTAGGACGTTCAGCAAGTTTCCTTAGAGTCTCTCCAAAACAGTCATTAGACGGTCATCGAACCCACTTCCTCTCATTTACAATGTGTCACCCCTGAAGAGTTATCAGAACAAGCAGGACTCTCTATTCTCCATTAGAGAGCCCTTCTCATTCTGCTGCCCGGAGTGACAAAGTCCTGATGATGAATTAATTCCCAAACCCACTGTTCCAAAGGAAACACACAGAGTCTGAAGACCAAAGAAGCTTGGAGCAGGGAGAAGTCTGTTTTCACAGGTGGGAGGAAAGATTCAGTAATGGAAATAGAAAGAACACAAATTCTGATTGAACACTGGTACCCCCAGAGAGATCAGCTCTACTGGAAGGGAGGAAGGACTACGTCCAGCCGGGACAGCCCCTCTGCAGCACCCCTTGTTTTAAAGCAACACACAGTTAGGTTACCTCATGGCTCCCATCACCTACCCAGGGTGACCTGAAGCTTCGTTCCAGTCCCAAAGATGAATTTCCCGGCACTGCCCATGGTCACACTGCGAGATGCTCCATAACAAAAACCTGCTGCTAGAGTTTCCATCTGGTCTCCGCCCTCCACTGGCTTACTCAGAGCTCTCTCCATGACCTCCTCCCAGATGTGCAGCCGGGTGGGCCCTCAGGGACCCGTTTCCATTTTTCCAGACTCTGCGGTTGTAGCCGCTATGAGGGCCACAGAGCTCTGGTCAGACACCTGCTGGGCTAACCCTATCTGCCTGTGGCCCTCTTTGGCCTCAGCTGATCATGGGGGTGCTGGCTAGTTGATTAAGGCCAAAGAGTTGTCAAGTTAAACTCTGCAGACTCTGGGAATTAAACTCTTGGTCCTTTTCTTCTCTGGGTTTTATGTTAATGGATTCCTTGTTAGACTTGATGAGTGATGGGGCTCAGAAATCAAATGACGAATCACTGTTCTAATGTAAGGTCGCCAAGTCAGGCAGAGAAGAGGGCATGAAGGCAGAGAAAGAGAAACAATCAAACCTCTACATGCACAGCCATTTCCACAATTCCTATGAAAGTCATTCTTATTGCAAAGGTGCTGTTAAGAAAGTTGCCCACGGATGTTCTGCCCCAGTTCTAAGTGGTACCCTTTGTCTGCTGGAGCCCAGAATTTCCAAGGGCCTCTTAGTCAAATACAATCACAAAAGCACACAGGAGTCCCCCAAAGCACAGACTGTATCACCCCTCTCATCTACACAGCTCAGACCCCCCACCCCCGTGTGTGTTGGATGGTGCCAATGAAGGCAGTGGTACCAGAGACTCATCAGCAGGGTTTGGAAATGTCCCCATGGGGATTCTATTTAGATCCCCACATCCTGGGCAGAAGCACTTACAGGGCTGGATGATGAGCTGGGTCCCTTTCCCAAAGGTAAGTCTGTTAGCACCTCCTCCTGCATTGGCACCCTGGGTCAACCCTTTACATAAATCTCTCTGCCAGAGATCCATGCCCCGAAGCTCTCAGAACCTCCACAGCAGCTCTGAAGCCCACAGACACTGAGGAGAGCTTGTAGTCCTGGCTGGCGCTGTTGGTCATTTCTTCCCCTCCCTCATTGCTGTCATAAAAGCTCAAAAGACACACGATCAAGGGAAGGGGCTCACGATTGCAGACTGGGAGTGCCATCCCCCAGCTACCAACTATATTATGCGAATGGTCGTGACCACAAAACTCTCCTCTGTCACGCAGGAGAAGATGTCTACGATGGAGACCCTTCCTCACAGATATTTAAAGGGGCATGAAAAGACGTCATGGTTTGTCTATCTGGAATCCAAAACAGGATAACTCAAAAGTCAGGCTAGAACACATAATCAGAAAAGACATAAATACCTCACATCCCCTCAGACTTACTGGGCCTGACTGTTAAATGAGTCCCGGTCCCAAAAGTCAGCTTGTCCCTGCTGCTAGTCTTCTCACTATGGTCAGCATCTTTACAGAAACAGGGCAGACCCCTGTCACGAGGGTCGCCTGCCTGCCCACCTGCCCGGCTTTCCTCCGACACGGCCCAGAAATGCCCTCCGAGCTCTCACACCGCCCTCGGTCACAGGCTTGGGAGAGGTCCCTAGGCTGGACACTACACACTAAGCTTTCCATTTTGGGGTCTAGACAACAAACAGCGGGCAGTGTGGTCCATAGGGATGCTGACATTAAAAAAAAATTTTTTTTTAAATTCTATTTTAAAGCTGTGGGTCACACCAGTTAATTGGTGTGATTGACTCTCTCAGAGGCGACACTCAGCAATTCTTAAACAAATCACACTCGGGAGGTGCTTATGGTGCACCTGAAATCTCACTTTGTCTTTCTCTAGAATCGAGTATTTCTGAACAAGAAAGTTGACTCAATTTGGGACGAAATTCTGGTTGGGAAAGGGGGGGCCAGAATGTATTTTATACTCACAAGGCTTGACTCTCAAAATGGTTCCTGAGCCAAAGATGAGCCTGTTTTCCACAGCATGAGGCGCCTCTACAAAAACCACGTAGGCGTGGGTGCACGTGGGGCGGGGTGGGGGCCAGTGGCTTGGCCCTGGAAACAGAGGATTGTTCCACTTCGCTTTTAGGAACTGCTAGTATTTGGCCAAGAAACCAAGGACGTTGGGATAATTGCAGAAACTTTTAAATGTGGAAAGGTCGATTGTGTATGGAATTTGGCTTGTGTTTGCTCTTTTTTTTTTTAAGATTTTATCCATTTGACAGAGAGAGACACAGTGAGAGTGCTCTCTGCTTCTTGGCCTAGATAAATGTTGCAACTCTTCGCTTGAAGGAACACTCCGAAGGGTTAGTGTATCTTTTCTTCCAGGGCCTTTCTAGCCCTCTAGCCAGAATTTTCTTTCATCTCATTAATCCTAATCATACTCCCCTGTACCAAACCATTCTACTCTGCTGTGATGTCCTCTAATTTCAAAACCCATAGCAACTACCAACCACTAACAATTTCTGGAAGCACGGCTTGGAAACAAACTCATTAGAGCTGGCTTCCACATCCAGTTTTCAACTAAATGGGGCTCTGAGTTGGTTTAGAGCCACTCTGACTGTCCCCTGCTGGGTAGAGCATTCTTACACTGAGTTGCTCTCCGTGGTGCAGGGGAGGGTGGTGTTTTCCCTGGTGTGTTATGTTTTGACCCAGGACGATTCCCTGAAGGCTACTGTGGCTGGGAGCTGACTGACCATCACTGGGTCCCCAGATCCCACTGCTCAGGTCTCACTTGGTAACTCTGGGACACTCTCTGAGCTCCCTGTCCCTGGATACAGAATGAGGAGAATACCACTTTCCTATCTTATCTGGACAGGGGAGAAGAAAAATCTTGGATGTCTAAAGGTGCTCTATCCGACCTAGCTGGGAGGCGCTTTATCACGTAACTTGTGCTGGAAGGGTCTGAAATAGCCAAATCCTCAATACTTGTGCCCATAAGGTCTGATGCAGCAAAAAGAAAGAAAGAAAAAAAAAAAGAGGTTCCTCTAGGTAACTGAGTAGTTAAGACAGTTGGAAAACGCAGACTTGGAAAGGTTCTATACGTTCAGTTTTTGCTTTATGC